TATTAAACTCTTTGTAGTTGCTTCGCTCACGTTCGATTTGGTTGTGTCCCCTTGAGAGAGCTTTTGAGATCTAGATCGAGAAGAAAAGCTCTCACTGTTAAATGTAGGCGAAGAGAGAAATAGAGCTTCGGCTACATAACTTCCCCATCGCTTAAATTAGGACTATCTTGGGTTTTACAATTCGTTTGTATACATATGTGTTTGGGATTTAATTATGGTAAACTATGTTACATTTGGAGTCTGATATTTCTTCTTTCTTTTAATGTTGGAGCTGTGTACATTATTTAAATTAAATTTTCTATATTTCGGTTCATTTTTGTGTCTTAAGGACTTATAGTTTTTTATATATCCTTCATTTCTAGTTTCTTCAAAATTTTCTCTTTTTTTATTTAAAAATGTAATGTAATGTTCCTTATATTTTAGAATATTATTATATATAACTTTTTTGTCACAATTTCCATATTCAACATTCATTGGCGTATTTTGTATTGCTGAGTGATAGTTTTTATTATAATATTCTATAGCTTTGCTAACTTTATCTTTTATTAATAGATCTTTGTTCTCAAGGTATAAGATTCTTATCTTTTCGGTTAGAGTATTATGAAATCGTTCAACGTCTGCATTGCCAGTGTGACTGTTCGTTTTCACAAAATGGACTTCTATATTCTCATTTCTTAAGTATTCTTTTATGTTTATACTATTAAATTCATTGTCGGTTATTAATTTTTCAAAGTTTCCTCTTTGGGACTTGTACGAGCGTATTTTTTCTATTATAGTTTGATTATTACGATCCTCAAGATAGAAGGCAGAAGCAAATTTTGAAAATCGGTCGATAAAAGTTAGAAAATTACATTTAGAATTTGTGTAGATATCCATATGAACAATTTTTTTTATATCGTTTGGTGTTTCTGTGTATTTGAATTTTTCTTTTACTGGGTTCCTATCATATTTACACCGATTACAGATGTCACAATTGTTGATATACTTTTGAATGTAATGTTGAAGTTTTGGGAAGTAAATATTTTTTTTAAGCTTTGGTAATTTTCATTTATACCCGAATGACCAGTATCAAATTTATGGAATCGTTCAATTTCCTTATACACGTCTTCTTCGTTTTCAATGTCTTTTGCGTGAAATGAGCATTTTACAAATTTTACATTTTTATTGCCTTCGAAAATTTGTATAATTTTGTTTTGAAATTTATTGTATTGATGATCGTTATATTCACTGAATATTCCTACTTTGCCTTTTTTGATATGATTCTTCAAAATTTCTTCCATTCCATTTTCGAGATCATTTAAATTTAAATAAATTTTCTTATTTTTATTCTTATATTCGAACTCCATAGTTTTGTTATCTGTTAGAATGATTTGTATTTTAAATCTATTAACGACTGTCTTCGACAAAGTCTTCGGCCTGTGAATGTTGTGTACTAGAGTCATCAACATTGTTTTCTAAAGAGCTATAAGATTCAGCTGTATTTAGAGCACAAATTTCGTCGTTACTTATTCGACTTAAAAAATCAGCTACCTGGTTGTCCTTTCCTTTAATGTATGATACATTTATATTAAATTCGCTAAGCTTGACAAGCCATCTATAAAGTACTTCATTAAGTTCTTTTCCGTTATATTTAATTAGCAGCCACTTAAGTGGTTGATGATCGGACAAAATGTCGAACTTGACTCCATAGAGATATGGACGGAAATAAGCTGTTGCCCACACAATAGCTAGTAATTCCTTTTGTATAGAAGAATAGTTTTTCTCGTGGTCATTCAATGTCCTACTGGCATAGCAAATTGGATGACTATCTTGTTGCAGAACTGCGCCTAAAGCTATATTACTAGCATCAGTAATAAGTTGAAATTTCTTTTTGAAATCTGGATACTTAAGTACCGGTGCCTCAGTTATGATTCTCTTTAACTTTTCAAATGCAATCATATAGTTGGGTTCCTTAATATCAATCTTAGCATCCTTTTTAAGGCATTTAATCAATGGATAAGCTACTTGGGAGAAATCCTTTATGAACTTTCGATAATACCCAGCGATTCCTAGGAAGGCTCTAATTTGCTTAACGTTTCTCGGAATTTTAATCTGAAGAATGCTTTTAACTTTTTCTGGGTTGGGTTTTACTCCTTCGGGGGTTAAAACATGACCCAAAAACTGAGTTTCTTTTGAAAAAAATTTGCATTTGTTGATTTGGATCTTAAGATTTGCTTCAGAGAGTTTTTTGAATATTGTGTGAATATGGCCAATATGTTCTGAAAAACTGGTGGAAAAAATAAGAACGTCATCAAGATAGACGACACAAATTCTATTTATTTCTTCTTTTAAGACTGTGTTTATGAGACGTTGAAATGTGGCAGGAGCGTTTTTGAGCCCAAATGGCATCCGATTAAACTCGTAGTGGCCGTGAGGGGTTGAAAACGCTGTCTTTTCCCTATCTTGTTCCTGAACAAGAATTTGGTGAAAGCTTTTCGCGAGATCTATAGTAGAAAAATATTGTGCTCTTCCTAACTTATCCAATATACCTTCTATATTTGGGATAGGAAATTTATCGTCTACTGTGTTTTCATTCAATTTGCGATAATCAATGACTATACGCCATTTTTTTATTCCACTGCTATCAGTTTTTTTGGGTACAAGCCATAAAGGGGCATTATATGGGGAATTGCTCTTACGTATTATTCCCTGTTGAAGCATTTCCTCAATTTGTCTATATATTTCTTGCTCATGTATTTGAGGATATCTATAAATCTTGCAGTATACAGGTTTATCCACTACTGTTTTTATCTGATGCTCGATAATATTTGTATTGCTAAGACTCTGACCTTCAAGAAATATTAATGTTTTGTATCTATTTAAAATTTGAGTTAGAGCCGTGTTTTCCTCTTGATTTAAATCATTGAAAAGAATTTTCTGTATACTATTATCTAAATTGATTGGTTCAATTTGATTTACCTCATCAGAGTATGGTGAACTATCATGAAATTGAATATTATTATTATTGATTGTAATGGTATTTTGGTGAAAATCAATAACTGCATTTAATGGCTTCAGAATGTTTTGCCCTATTATCGCATCAAACGATTTGTTATGAAATGTTGTCAATTTCCAACTCATTGTGGCATCTTCTTTAAATTCAAGAGGCAAATCCGTTATAATCTCTTGCGTTATTAGTGATTTTGAATTTAAAGATGAAAATGATATTGGATGACACAAAGTTCTTCGAGGATATTGTACCAATTTATTTTTATCTAACATGGAAGTTGTTGAACCGGTATCAATCAAGGCTGTGATTATTTCATTGTTTAAAGTTAACTTGATCAAGGGAAGTGATTTTTCGAGGCAATTATATGAAAATTTGCATGGCAAGAACAGTTATTTTGCTCAGACATCAATTCAGAAGTAAAGTCTTGATCTTGATTATCATTTTCAAATTGGCAACAATTATTTTTATCTACTTCGACATGATCGATTTCCATTTTTGAAATATGGCTTTGTTGACTTGTACAGTTCTGATTTGAATTTAAATTTTGTGTTCCTGATCGAAAGTTTCCAGAATTAGCTTTTACATTATGGAAATTGTTATTGTTTCTTGCATTCTGATTTTGGTTATTATAATTTGGTTTGTAAGATCGGTCTCTTTGATAATTTGTATTATTATTTTGATATTGATAGTTTTGATTTTGAGTTCTAATAAGACCTTCGGTTTCTAATAAATCGAAAGCTTCTCTTAAACTTTTTACATTTCTATTTATTACGACTGAAGCTAAATTTACATCGATATTTTTTAAGAATGTTCTTAGTATAGCTTCTTCAACATTTTTGGGACTAAACTCAGAATGCTTTACATTATCATATTCATATTTTTCATTAATCTTACACATTATACTTCTCAAAGATTTAAAATATTCAGTAATGTCGTTTTTGTTACTTAGCATCAACGATTCTTGGTAAAGTTGATTATAAGACTCCTTTACGCCAAAATTTCGAATAAGAATCGTCTTGACGTCATCCCAAGATGGCTCTGCATTCTCGATGGTTCTCACAACATGTAGAGCTTCGCCTTGAATTTTGTTGAGGATGATGCGGCGAAAGACGTAGACTCTTGCGGTAGATGTGGCAGGTAATAACTCAAGAGCCATCTCCACTTCACGAATAAATGATGATAGAGCCCTTGAGTTGTCTCCTTTGTACTCGTGAATTTGGTGGGCATCCTTAAGAATGTCCCCAAACGTTAAGGTAAACTCGTTTGCCATCGCTATTAAAGCAAAGTTATCGGTTGAGTTCTTTAGAACTAGTTGTGATAGTTCTCGTCGTTAATCGATGCCAATGGTTCTTCAGAACTTGTAATGGAACCAATTCTGAACAGAATAAGTTCGCTCCGAGATGCTGGTATGTGTGTGCAATTGTTGGTTTAGACACACATTCACATATACATACATACAGAGATGAGTGCCGGCACGCTGCATAGAACATGTACAATATGCTTCCAGGTTATACACGAAGTTGTACGAAATGCAGCAAATATCCGATGCACAAAAACGCTTGGTTGGTTTTTGTTATTCTGTACACACTTTTGCGAATCTCCTTGTCAAAGCCGGTATGTTTTGACAAAACGTGCCTCTTCAGAGGTTATGTGTCTTTTGCACGAGGTAGGTATGTATGTATGGGATTACATACGAGCACAAATTCGCTCAATACCGCACTTAAGTGGGCACTTCAATGTTTTTGGTTACTCCGTCGACTGCGCCAGTTTTGTTACCGTATTTCGGTTAACATTTTAATTGAATTAGAACACAATTGAATGTTTTTAGCTGGTATAACTCCGTTTATTAAACTCTTTGTAGTTGCTTCGCTCACGTTCGATTTGGTTGTGTCCCCTTGAGAGAGCTTTTGAGATCTAGATCGAGAAGAAAAGCTCTCACTGTTAAATGTAGGCGAAGAGAGAAATAGAGCTTCGGCTACATAACGCGCGCGCGCGCACGACCTACGAACAGTCACACTGGCCGCACGACGACAGGGCACACTAGCGGAGGCAAAACCCCGGCCAGTGAGCTGGCCACACTAGGGCCTCGCCGAGCCCTATATAAAGCGCGCCACGGCACTGGAGAAGTCACTCAGTCGCTGATTGCGATTGTAATCACCCAAGCAGCCAAGTCACTTTTTCTGGAACCAGGTACGCCCAGGTTCCAACCAATACATTGTAGTTAGTCGTAGTCTTCCCCGCTAACCCTCCTCCCCCCCTCTGCTGACTTTCGAGTCCAAATCGTTGCCGACTTTCGGGTCCACGCTCTGCCGACTTTCGAGTCCAAAACACTGCTGACTTTCGACTCCAATCTCTGCTGACTTTCGAGTCCAATCTCTGCTGACTTTCGAGTCCAATTCTCTCTGCCGACTTTCGAGTCCAAAACACTGCCGACTTTCGAGTCCAATTCTCTCTGCTGACTTTCGAGTCCAATTCTCTCTGCTGACTTTCGAGTCCAAAACACTGCCGACTTTCGAGTCCAATTCTCTCTGCTGACTTTCGAGTCCAAAACACTGCTGACTTTCGAGTCCAATTCTCTCTGCTGACTTTCGAGTCCAATTCTCTCTGCTGACTTTCGAGTCCAAAACACTGCCGACTTTCGAGTCCAATTCTCTCTGCTGACTTTCGAGTCCAAAACACTGCTGACTTTCGAGTCCAATTCTCTCTGCTGGACTTTCGAGTCCAAAACACTGCCGACTTTCGAGTCCAATTCTCTCTGCTGACTTTCGAGTCCAAAACACTGCTGACTTTCGAGTCCAATTCTCTCTGCTGACTTACGAGTCCAACAACAAACTTCTCCGTGCCGACTTGCGAGTCCAACAACAACTTCTCCTCGCAGACTTACGAGTCCAACAACAAACTTCTCCTGGCCGACTTTCGAGTCCAAGCAACAACTTCTCCTTGTAGACTTACGAGTCCAACAACAAACTTCTCCTGGCAGACTTTCGAGTCCAAAACAACAACTTCTCCGTGCCGACTTGCGAGTCCAACAACAACTTCTCCTCGCAGACTTACGAGTCCAACAACAAACTTCTCCTGGCAGACTTCCGAGTCCAACAACACACTTCTCCGAGCCGACTTTCGAGTCCAACCACAACCTCTCCTAGCAGACTTTCGGGTCCGAACAACAACATCGCTGAGCCGACTTTCGAGTCCCTTTCCCTTCATCCAAGCCGACTGGCGCACCCAGGTGCCGGGCGACACACGGACCTGCGCGTCCGACAACCACCATCCGCCGTAGCCCCGATCGGAGCCAACATCTTCTCTTCTCCCTCTTCCCCAGGCACCAGCTGCCGCCGACGGCATCCCGACGTGAGAGGACCCTCCCAGACGCGAGGAGCCTACGCCCGTCCAGGAGCCCCGGATCTGATCTTTCCCGTCGCCCCGAACCAGCACAGCCCAGATCCTGATCAATTTACCTAACTGTAATATTCCGTCAATAAACCGTACCCTTACTCTTTACCGTATTTCCCTCTCGAGTTCTTTCTGGGGGGCAACGGATCGGGGAAAAATCTTTACAGCAACCACGCCTGAACCAAATAAATATATCTGCACAGCCCTGGACGTCCCGCTGACTACCCGTGGACGACAGGACGTTACAGATTGGCGCCCGAGCAGGTTGAAGTGGTTGTAAGTAAAAGATCTGATACCGTAGGAGTAATGTCGAGCTGGGTATACCTTGCATCAAAGAGTGAGCTAACGGAGTATGCAGAGGAATTCGGGCTAGACACCACAGGAAGGAGCGAAGATCTAAGGCGGTTACTAGCGGCTTTCGCGAAGAGAACGGATTACACGGAGGCAGCAGGACTAAAACTCGCAGAACTCACGGAAAAGTACAGGAAGAAGAAAAGTCCAGCAAGAAGCGCAACACCGGCGATCGTGGTAACAAGCGGAGAAGAGCGGACCGCCGAGTTACGACCAACAACGAGTGCGGCAGCAAGGGTCATAGCTGCTAAGGAAGGGGAGCAGAGGAACGACCACCGAGGAACAGTTACATCTAAAATGGAGGAGGTCAAAGAAAGGAAAGTAGAACGGAGAATGGAGACAGAAATTGTGGACCGAGTAAGAGGTTGGGGCATCCGGTACCAAGGAACAACGAACCCGCTGGAGTTTCTGAGCAAGATGGAACAATGGGCAGATGGGTACGGGATGCAGAAGGACCAGCTGATACAGACCATGCCATTTATACTGGAGGGGATCGCGTACGACTGGTGGAACACATCAAGGGCCAGGATAACAACATGGCAGCAACTGACATCAGAACTGCTGGAACATTTCCTACCGCCAAGATACGGGGAACAACTGGAGACCCAGATAGTGCAGCTGAAACAGCGGGAAACAGAGCCAGTAAGAGAGTACGCGATGAGTCTGAGGAAACTTATGCGGTTCACGAAACTGACGGAAGAGGAGAAACTCGACCGGGTGTACAAGAACTGCAGAAGTAAAATAAAGCTGTATACACGGAGGACGGGGTTCAACACCCTGACAGAGTTCCTCAGGCTGGCGGAGGAAGTGGAGGAGATAGAGGCGGCAGAGAACCTCACACAACAACTCCAACAGCCATACCAGCTCAGACCGGACATATGCATGCGCTGCGGAGGAACCGGGCATGCAGCGAGAACATGCACGAATACGCCGAGATTGTTCTGTTGGGTCTGCGGGAGAAACGGCACCCGGACAACAGAATGCTGCAGATCTGGACCGGGAAACGACAGAGGCCTGAGCAGATGAAGCTGGCGGCTCAGGCGACAAGAAATCCAGCTATAGAGGACGACCTAAGCTGTGACGGGTTCAGATCATAGCACGGATCGGAATCGGGAAGGGAACGGCACGCGGAGTGGTCGACACGGGGGCATCAAGAAGTGCGATCAGCAAAAACATGTACCAGGATCTAAGGGACCACGGAAGATGGTGGGGTACACGAGAGGAGATCACAGTCGCCAACGGAGCCCGACAAAGAGCCATAGGGAACTTCACAGCGGAGGTTAGCTTCGGAGGAAGATCGTTCACGATAACGTTCATGATACTAAAGAACGTGTCTGGAGGAATACTGTTGGGTATGGACTTTCTGGCAGGAGCGAACAGCATGCTGAGGTGCGGCAACCTGGAGCTGGATCTGGTATCGGCCATGGAGGAAACACCGACAAGGGAGGAAAAGGACACGATGGCAGAGAAGTCAGAAGAACCGTCAGAAGAGGAAGTGCAGCAGTTCCTGAACAAAAACAGGCAAGTATTCGAAGACATGAAGGGGGTAAGCAACGTCACCGAACACAAAATATACTTGAACGACGACAGACCGATCAAGCAGCGATACTACCCGCGAAATCCCAAGCAAAAAGCGGTCATCAACGAACAGGTAGACGAACTGCTGACTCTAGGGTTAATAGAACGATCGAGAAGTCCGTATAGCGCACCAGTCGTGCTGGTAAGGAAAAAGAACAATGAATGGAGAATGTGCATAGACTACAGACAGCTAAATGAGAAAACAGAGAAGGATGCATACCCGGTACCTCGAATGAACTTCATCCTGGACCAATTAAGGGAAGCAAAATTTATAAGCACCATAGACCTGAAGTCAGGATATTGGCAAATCCCGATGGAGCAGGGAAGCAGGCAATACACGGCGTTCACAGTACCAGGACGAGGGCTGTTCCAATGGACGGTAATGCCATTCGGGTTAACCACCGCCCCGGCAACGTTCCAGAGGGCATTGGACACGATAATTGGGCCAGAGATGGAACCGTTCGCGTTCGCGTATTTGGACGATATTATTGTGATAGGCCGGACCAAGAGGGAGCATCTGGAAAAACTCCAAGAAGTATTCCGAAGGCTGCAACAAGCGAACTTGAGAATAAATCCGGACAAGTGCCATTTTTCCCAAAAAGAATTAAAGTACTTGGGACATGTGGTAAGCGAGCACGGGATCCGGACAGACCCAGAGAAGGTAGCTGCGATTCGGGACTTACCGACACCCATGAACACAAAGGAAGTACACAGTTTTTTGGGGATGGCATCGTGGTACCGAAGATTTATCCCGAACTTCACGGAGCAAGCGGTAGCACTGCAGGAGCTTACAAGGAAGGGCCAAAAGTTCGAATGGAACCAAAACCATCAGAACTCGTTCGAGCAGCTGAAGGAAAGCCTGATGCGGGCTCCGGTACTGGCATGCCCGGACTTCACGAAGCGGTTTAAACTTCAGACCGATGCCAGCGACTTCGGAGTGGGGGCAGTACTTACGCAAGACACAGAGGACGGCGAACACGTAATTTCCTTCGCAAGTAGGAAGCTAAGCAAGGTAGAACGGAAATATAGCGCAACGGAAAAGGAGTGTTTGGCGATCCACTGGGGCATAGAGAAGTACAAGAAGTACCTGGAGGGCTACCCGTTTACAGTAGTAACGGACCATATGGCACTCAAGTGGCTAAACTCGATAAAGAGTCCCTCAGGAAGGATAGCAAGATGGGCGCTAGGTTTGCAACCGTACCAGTTCGACATACAGTACAGGAAGGGGAAGCTAAACGTGGTGGCAGATACATTATCGAGAGCACCGCCGATAGAACTGAAGACAGTAAACCAGGTGGCAAGCTGGGTGGAGCGGAAGCGAGACGAGGTGGAAAAAGGGCAAGGCGACACTGGCTTTTACATAGAAGGCGATCAGCTGTACAAACTCAACCAAAATCGGATGGATCAGCAGCCATGGAAATTATGCATACCCGAAAACCAAGTACACCACATACTGACGGAAAACCACTGCACGCCAGAAGCAGGGCATCTGGGAATGTACAAGACAAAGCGACAGATACGGAACAGGTACTTCTCGCCAGGTATGGCAAAAGATGTGGAGGAATTCGTCAGTAAGTGTGATAGCTGCCAACGATACAAAGTATCGCAACAAAAAAAGCGCGGGGAAAATGCTAACAAGAATAGCAGAGGCGCCATGGGAAACGATGTGCGTGGACTTCGTCGGGCCGCTACCACGGACAACCCATGGAAACACAGTACTAGTGGTAATAGTAGATAAGTTCTCCAAATGGGTGGAGCTAGCAGCGACTCGGCAGGCGACGGCAGAAGCATTTTTGAAAATCTTCCGCGAGCGAGTAATATCACGAGTCGGTGCGCCAAAGATCCTAATATCCGATAACGGGGTGCAATTCACGGGACGCAAAACTAGAAACGCGATTGAAAAATGGGGAATACGGCAGCAGCTTACCGCACCCTACACGCCACAAGAAAATCCGACGGAGCGAACAAACAGGACGATTAAAACGATGATAGCACAGATGACGGGATCGGAACAAACGAAGTGGGACGAACACATCCCGGAATTGATGCTAGCGTTCAACAGTAGCACGTCGGAATCGACGAAGTATAGCCCGGCACAGTTAGTTTTTGGAAAGGAGCTAAGGTTACCGGATATGACCTTCGATAAGGTAACGAATGGCTAAGGAATAAAGGAAGAGAGCATATCGGCAAGATCGGCAACGCGGTGAACAAGTTCAACGCGAAACTAGCACCACGGTATGACGGACCCTGGAAAATAGTAGGGTTCATATCCCCAGTGATATTGTCACTAAGGGACCCGAAAACCCGGAAAACAAAACGGGCATATATCGGGGATATTAAGCCTCAGAAAGGGGCAGAGTCAGAGCAGAGATCGGCGCAGGCGGCAGAGAGAAGTCAAGAGAGCGATAGGACAGATAAGCAGAGTCAGGAACCGATAACAGGCAAAGACCATAACCTAACCCAACGACCCGAACGGAACGTTATACAACACTATAACCACATAGGACGTAGTCTAACACTAGAAAACAAGCTAATCAGCTGGCCAAAAACTAACATGGATTCTTTCGGTATCTTTCCAGCAGAGACGATGCACCGCTTTCAAGCAAGCGCGGAAAAATTCAGGGAGAAACTCGACAAGGCGGCACGCGGGGCTCCACGAACGCAGCTGATCGACCCGAACGTGTGATGCTGCGCGCACAAAACAAATAAGTAAAAATAGTCAGCAAGAAACACAAAGAAATGTAAAACAAAAAGAAACTGAAGTAGCCACAAGAATGGAATAAAAAATAATAAAATAAAAATAGTCGGTAAGAAACACAAAGAAATGTAAAACAAAAAGAAACTGAAGTAACCACAAGAATGGAATCAAAGAAACCAAAAAGTATGAAGTAAACACAAAAGAACTGAAATACGAAAGACTTAAATAAAACAAACTCGAAAAGAGAGAAAAGGAAAGACGCACTCGACTTTGAATCAAAAGCGCGCACGGCCTACGAACAGTCACACTGGCCGCACGACAGCAGGGCACACTAGCGGAGGCAAAACCCCGGCCAGTGAGCTGGCCACACTAGGGCCTCGCCGAGCCCTATATAAAGCGCGCCACGGCACTGGAGAAGTCACTCAGTCGCTGATTGCGATTGTAATCACCCAAGCAGCCAAGTCACTTTTTCTGGAACCAGGTACGCCCAGGTTCCAACCAATACATTGTAGTTAGTCGTAGTCTTCCCCGCTAACCCTCCTCCCCCCCTCTGCTGACTTTCGAGTCCAAATCGTTGCCGACTTTCGGGTCCACGCTCTGCTGACTTTCGAGTCCAAAACACTGCTGACTTTCGACTCCAATCTCTGCTGACTTTCGAGTCCAATCTCTGCTGACTTTCGAGTCCAATTCTCTCTGCTGACTTTCGAGTCCAATTCTCTCTGCTGACTTTCGAGTCCAAAACACTGCCGACTTTCGAGTCCAATTCTCTCTGCTGACTTTCGAGTCCAAAACACTGCCGACTTTCGAGTCCAATTCTCTCTGCTGACTTTCGAGTCCAATTCTCTCTGCTGACTTTCGAGTCCAAAACACTGCCGACTTTCGAGTCCAATTCTCTCTGCTGACTTTCGAGTCCAAAACACTGCTGACTTTCGAGTCCAATTCTCTCTGCTGACTTTCGAGTCCAATTCTCTCTGCTGACTTTCGAGTCCAAAACACTGCCGACTTTCGAGTCCAATTCTCTCTGCTGACTTTCGAGTCCAAAACACTGCTGACTTTCGAGTCCAATTCTCTCTGCTGACTTTCGAGTCCAAAACACTGCCGACTTTCGAGTCCAATTCTCTCTGCTGACTTTCGAGTCCAAAACACTGCTGACTTTCGAGTCCAATTCTCTCTGCTGACTTACGAGTCCAACAACAAACTTCTCCGTGCCGACTTGCGAGTCCAACAACAACTTCTCCTCGCAGACTTACGAGTCCAACAACAAACTTCTCCTGGCCGACTTTCGAGTCCAAGCAACAACTTCTCCTTGTAGACTTACGAGTCCAACAACAAACTTCTCCTGGCAGACTTTCGAGTCCAAAACAACAACTTCTCCGTGCCGACTTGCGAGTCCAACAACAACTTCTCCTCGCAGACTTACGAGTCCAACAACAAACTTCTCCTGGCAGACTTCCGAGTCCAACAACACACTTCTCCGAGCCGACTTTCGAGTCCAACCACAACCTCTCCTAGCAGACTTTCGGGTCCGAACAACAACATCGCTGAGCCGACTTTCGAGTCCCTTTCCCTTCATCCAAGCCGACTGGCGCACCCAGGTGCCGGGCGACACACGGACCTGCGCGTCCGACAACCACCATCCGCCGTAGCCCCGATCGGAGCCAACATCTTCTCTTCTCCCTCTTCCCCAGGCACCAGCTGCCGCCGACGGCATCCCGACGTGAGAGGACCCTCCCAGACGCGAGGAGCCTACGCCCGTCCAGGAGCCCCGGATCTGATCTTTCCCGTCGCCCCGAACCAGCACAGCCCAGATCCTGATCAATTTACCTAACTGTAATATTCCGTCAATAAACCGTACCCTTACTCTTTACCGTATTTCCCTCTCGAGTTCTTTCTGGGGGGCAACGGATCGGGGAAAAATCTTTACAGCAACCACGCCTGAACCAAATAAATATATCTGCACAGCCCTGGACGTCCCGCTGACTACCCGTGGACGACAGGACGTTACAGATTGGCGCCCGAGCAGGTTGAAGTGGTTGTAAGTAAAAGATCTGATACCGTAGGAGTAATGTCGAGCTGGGTATACCTTGCATCAAAGAGTGAGCTAACGGAGTATGCAGAGGAATTCGGGCTAGACACCACAGGAAGGAGCGAAGATCTAAGGCGGTTACTAGCGGCTTTCGCGAAGAGAACGGATTACACGGAGGCAGCAGGACTAAAACTCGCAGAACTCACGGAAAAGTACAGGAAGAAGAAAAGTCCAGCAAGAAGCGCAACACCGGCGATCGTGGTAACAAGCGGAGAAGAGCGGACCGCCGAGTTACGACCAACAACGAGTGCGGCAGCAAGGGTCATAGCTGCTAAGGAAGGGGAGCAGAGGAACGACCACCGAGGAACAGTTACATCTAAAATGGAGGAGGTCAAAGAAAGGAAAGTAGAACGGAGAATGGAGACAGAAATTGTGGACCGAGTAAGAGGTTGGGGCATCCGGTACCAAGGAACAACGAACCCGCTGGAGTTTCTGAGCAAGATGGAACAATGGGCAGATGGGTACGGGATGCAGAAGGACCAGCTGATACAGACCATGCCATTTATACTGGAGGGGATCGCGTACGACTGGTGGAACACATCAAGGGCCAGGATAACAACATGGCAGCAACTGACATCAGAACTGCTGGAACATTTCCTACCGCCAAGATACGGGGAACAACTGGAGACCCAGATAGTGCAGCTGAAACAGCGGGAAACAGAGCCAGTAAGAGAGTACGCGATGAGTCTGAGGAAACTTATGCGGTTCACGAAACTGACGGAAGAGGAGAAACTCGACCGGGTGTACAAGAACTGCAGAAGTAAAATAAAGCTGTATACACGGAGGACGGGGTTCAACACCCTGACAGAGTTCCTCAGGCTGGCGGAGGAAGTGGAGGAGATAGAGGCGGCAGAGAACCTCACACAACAACTCCAACAGCCATACCAGCTCAGACCGGACATATGCATGCGCTGCGGAGGAACCGGGCATGCAGCGAGAACATGCACGAATACGCCGAGATTGTTCTGTTGGGTCTGCGGGAGAAACGGCACCCGGACAACAGAATGCTGCAGATCTGGACCGGGAAACGACAGAGGCCTGAGCAGATGAAGCTGGCGGCTCAGGCGACAAGAAATCCAGCTATAGAGGACGACCTAAGCTGTGACGGGTTCAGATCATAGCACGGATCGGAATCGGGAAGGGAACGGCACGCGGAGTGGTCGACACGGGGGCATCAAGAAGTGCGATCAGCAAAAACATGTACCAGGATCTAAGGGACCACGGAAGATGGTGGGGTACACGAGAGGAGATCACAGTCGCCAACGGAGCCCGACAAAGAGCCATAGGGAACTTCACAGCGGAGGTTAGCTTCGGAGGAAGATCGTTCACGATAACGTTCATGATACTAAAGAACGTGTCTGGAGGAATACTGTTGGGTATGGACTTTCTGGCAGGAGCGAACAGCATGCTGAGGTGCGGCAACCTGGAGCTGGATCTGGTATCGGCCATGGAGGAAACACCGACAAGGGAGGAAAAGGACACGATGGCAGAGAAGTCAGAAGAACCGTCAGAAGAGGAAGTGCAGCAGTTCCTGAACAAAAACAGGCAAGTATTCGAAGACATGAAGGGGGTAAGCAACGTCACCGAACACAAAATATACTTGAACGACGACAGACCGATCAAGCAGCGATACTACCCGCGAAATCCCAAGCAAAAAGCGGTCATCAACGAACAGGTAGACGAACTGCTGACTCTAGGGTTAATAGAACGATCGAGAAGTCCGTATAGCGCACCAGTCGTGCTGGTAAGGAAAAAGAACAATGAATGGAGAATGTGCATAGACTACAGACAGCTAAATGAGAAAACAGAGAAGGATGCATACCCGGTACCTCGAATGAACTTCATCCTGGACCAATTAAGGGAAGCAAAATTTATAAGCACCATAGACCTGAAGTCAGGATATTGGCAAATCCCGATGGAGCAGGGAAGCAGGCAATACACGGCGTTCACAGTACCAGGACGAGGGCTGTTCCAATGGACGGTAATGCCATTCGGGTTAACCACCGCCCCGGCAACGTTCCAGAGGGCATTGGACACGATAATTGGGCCAGAGATGGAACCGTTCGCGTTCGCGTATTTGGACGATATTATTGTGATAGGCCGGACCAAGAGGGAGCATCTGGAAAAACTCCAAGAAGTATTCCGAAGGCTGCAACAAGCGAACTTGAGAATAAATCCGGACAAGTGCCATTTTTCCCAAAAAGAATTAAAGTACTTGGGACATGTGGTAAGCGAGCACGGGATCCGGACAGACCCAGAGAAGGTAGCTGCGATTCGGGACTTACCGACACCCATGAACACAAAGGAAGTACACAGTTTTTTGGGGATGGCATCGTGGTACCGAAGATTTATCCCGAACTTCACGGAGCAAGCGGTAGCACTGCAGGAGCTTACAAGGAAGGGCCAAAAGTTCGAATGGAACCAAAACCATCAGAACTCGTTCGAGCAGCTGAAGGAAAGCCTGATGCGGGCTCCGGTACTGGCATGCCCGGACTTCACGAAGCGGTTTAAACTTCAGACCGATGCCAGCGACTTCGGAGTGGGGGGCAGTACTTACGCAAGACACAGAGGACGGCGAACACGTAATTTCCTTCGCAAGTAGGAAGCTAAGCAAGGTAGAACGGAAATATAGCGCAACGGAAAAGGAGTGTTTGGCGATCCACTGGGGCATAGAGAAGTACAAGAAGTACCTGGAGGGCTACCCGTTTACAGTAGTAACGGACCATATGGCACTCAAGTGGCTAAACTCGATAAAGAGTCCCTCAGGAAGGATAGCAAGATGGGCGCTAGGTTTGCAACCGTACCAGTTCGACATACAGTACAGGAAGGGGAAGCTAAACGTGGTGGCAGATACATTATCGAGAGCACCGCCGATAGAACTGAAGACAGTAAACCAGGTGGCAAGCTGGGTGGAGCGGAAGCGAGACGAGGTGGAAAAAGGGCAAGGCGACA